ATGCGGCCGATCCCACAACTGCCCGGTCAGGAAGGATGGGTGGGTGTGCGATGCCCCCCCATCGAAGCATGTGCCACAGGCATGCCCACACCTTCCCAAGTGACAGGAGGCCACTCAGGGTGCCATAGGCCCCGTGGCTTCCTGGTCTCCGTTGGGACCACAGGCCACCAGTGCGAGAGTGCACACAGAGGGGGAGAGCCAACCCCACCAGAGCCACAGCGGAAGGCAGACAGAGCGGGGGAGGCCAGGACGGCCTCAGGTGGGAGGGGACTTCTCCAGGGTGCCACCGGCCCCGGAAGCCCCTCCACCGAGGAAGAGGAGCGGACCCAGCCAGGGCACTCCAGAAGGGCGGAAGCATCCCTTTCCCCCGCACCCACCGAGGCAGTGGGAAGACCCCCCAGAGAGACCCAGAGGTGAGGATCCGCCCAAAGGGCGGGAAGAACCGCCAGGGCAAGCAGCAAGCCCAGGGACAGATGACGGGAGGGTCAGACAAAGGACACACGGAATCCCTAGGGGGGGCAAGCCCCACCTTCCCATGGATGCAGGACATCCCGGAAAGACTGAGGCTCAGACTAAGGTGGACGCCACGTCTGGTGCCGGAGTCGTCAAAGCCGTCCCTCATCCTGCTGTACGCTGGGAAGGATGATGCGGGGGCCCTGGATGCTTACCTCCATGCCTACAACCCGGCCTTCTCGGAGTACATTTGCGCGGTTTGGGCGGTGGACATCAGGCGAAAGGGTGGAGACCTTGGGCAGGACATGCTGGGAGATGAGCCTTACTCTACGATGTGCTCCATGGCCATGGCGGGCAAGGTCGCCTTTGTGGGGGGCGGCCCCAACTGCAGGACGTGGAGCATCCTCAGATGGTTCCCCAAACCGGGTGGCCCGCCGCCGGTGAGGGGCAGACCCTGTGGGGCTTAGAGGACCTGGAGCCCCGGGTTATGGAGGACACGGACAATGACAGCGTGCTCATGCTCCGACAGATGTACCTAACCTCGCTGGCCTACAAGGGGCTAGGTCAGCTAACGGTCCCGCAGGTGGGCTCCTCCTTCTTGGAGCACCCAATGGACCCAATGGAGTGCAGCAAGAGTCATCGATCTGGGTCACACGGGCCTACATTCAATGGGCGAACGCACTCCACCACTCCCTCATCAAGTTTGACGAGTGCCGCCTGGGCCAGGTGGTAGTGAAGTCCACGACATTGTCAACGGACCTTCCCCTTCACCATTGGCATGATCTGCGGTGCAACCACGGGGCTCACCCCAGGGGGGAAAAGCTCAACTCCAGTGACCTCAGCCGGTACCCAGAGCAGATGATGCAGGGTCTCGCAGCCCCCGAGGCGGCAGAGGGAACCTTCTCCCAGCACGCCGGGGCACAACAAGCGCCAGTCCCGGAGGCTGAAGGCTGGCCAACAAGCGTTGGCGGGACTAACCTTGGGCTCACTTCCGGTCTCGGCCTCGGACAATCCGGAGGTCCGGACACCGACACAGAGGACTGGCGAGACAGACGAACTTCGGGGGGGAACTCTTTCCCCTGAGCCATGGGCACACCATGGCATGGAAATCTCGGATCGGCCCACCACCCTGCCGATCACGCACGACCCAAATCTCTCCGACAAGGTCATGTACCTCCAGATGGCCTTCAAACAGCGCCCCCTAAGGGACGGGGGTGGGAAGCCCTCGTTGGGACGGCTGGCCCCATGGACTCGGCCACTGTCCAAAGCAGCAGCGATGGGGGCCAAGATCTGTGTCCTCACTTCGCCATGGGGGGACAAGCTCCAGGAGTCGCTCTCGTTGGGGGACGGGTCACATCCCTTCCCGGAGGACCTGCTGGAGGATATCAGGGAGATTCTGGCGCCGGGGGCCAACCCTTCTTCCTGGACATCTTGCACAGCGTGGCGCTGAACATTCAGGACCCCGACCACCAGTTTCCCCGGGATCTGGAGCAAGGGGTCCCACTGGGGGTCACGGACCCGCCCCTGACCTCGCCGCGCATCTGGCCACTCAAGAAGGAGCTGAAAGGGGAGAGCCGGAGTTTCAGGAACTCCCTCACCCAACGGGCAGGGGTAACTACCCCTCGGCGGATCACTTCAGCGAGCTCATCCGGGGCACATTCCTGGAGGAGGTCCCCATGGGCATGGTAGAGGGCCCCTTCACTAAGGTGGAGGCAGCATCGCGCTGTGGCTGCGAAATTGAGGACCTTTGTCCCGGCCCCCTAGCGGGCATCGACGAGGGGGACAAGATCCGCACCATCTACGATGGCTCGGTGGGCGGGGCCAATGACACCATCAGGAACCAGACGGTGGAAAGGACGACGGCTCCGACTGTGCTGGATGGGGTACAAGCTCTCCATTGGCTACATGCGGCAGCTGCGGAGGGACCCCCCTCTCAGGGTGCCCCTGGCCCCGAGAGGGAGGTCGTCAAACCTCCACCTGGGGGCTGGCTATGGCCGGAGCCGGGCACCAGGTGGGTGCTGCTGAAGGCGGACGTCACCAAGGCCCACCGGAGAGTGAAGGTCCTCAGAAAGAACTGGCGGTTCCAGTGGCCTCACTGGGGGAAGAATGGTGGGTGAACAAGGTAGGCACATATGGCATGGCCAGTGCCCAATCCTACTGGGGACGCCTGGCAGCCCTTCTACTCTTACGCACTTTTCCCTCAAGTGGATTGGAACTTCGTCTTTGTCGATGACTTCCTGTGGCTGCTTCGAAGCGAGGGGGCAGTAAACTTGGCGGTGGCGCTGCTGGCAACACTCCTGGCCTTGGGCACCCCGCTTAGCTGGAAGAAGACGCATTTGGCGGAGGTTAACACGTGGCTGGGTTTCGTGGTCCACCCGAACATCCCGCAGGTTCTCATGGCCGCCAACAAACACATCCTGGTTATGGAGGTTTTGCAGATCATGGTGGAAGGGCAGGCGATTGCACTCAAAGGACATCGAGAAGGCCCTGGGTCGCATCCAATGGGCGACTGCTGCATGTCCGCTGGCGAAGTCGATGCTCCAGCCACTTTGGGCCTGGAAGATGGCCACCACCACGGTGGGGAAACCCCCCAAGGTGGTCAGGATGCTGGCGTTCATGCTGCGGTTCCTCTTCAACACGCCCTTCGTCCAGTACTCCCCTTACTTGCCGAAGTCCTCTTGGTGGGGTTGCAGCGATGCTAGCGCCTCGGACGAAGGACTGGCATTTGTGGGAGGTTGGTGCTCCAACAAAGTGGAGCCGGAAAAGAAGGAGGTGTACTGGTTCCACGAGCAGATCCACGTGGAGGAGTACCCTTGGGCATTCAAGAATGGGGATCCCAAGCGGAGGATTGCGGCTCTGGAAATGCTGGGCACGCTCTTCCTCTGTAACATGATCCTCACGCACCAAGGCCCTCTGTCCTCCCGGGTCCGACTCCCGGTGGGCAGTGACAATCAGGGCAACGTCATGGCGATGCTCAACCTTGGATCCAAGAAGCCCTACACGGCGGCGATCCTGATGGAGCTGGTCTTCCTGCTCCACACCCATGGCTGCTCGCTGGCGGCCAACCACGTGCCCCGAGATGACTGACGCACCCAGATTTCTCTGGGTTCGACCCTTTGCACAGGGTCCCCAAACAGGAACTCTGCGAGGAGTTCGTTTTTCTCCCGCGTCTCCTGAATGGAGATGCATTTGATCTTAGCGTGGGCCCACCCATGCTCCCGTGACCGGAGCCGGTGGGTGACTCACTTCCCCTGGTGGCAGACCCCCCTGTGGCCTGGGTGCCCCGGGCCCCGGCTCAGGGGCGGGCGCTATCAGTCTGCACACCCGTTCTTCAGTTTTTGAGATTGTGAGTTGGGTGGCCCATGGGGCCCACCCAGCCTTTGACATCTGACAGGGGAAGATGAGTCCCTGGCACCAACACACTGCTCGGATAAAAGAGTTATCGCGTGCTTGTGTGTGGTGCCGTTTGGTTAGCTTGCATACACATATGTATGTACTGTACGTACATATATATATATATATTACATACATACGCACACACATGCCTACATGCATATCTGCGCGCACATACGCACACAGACACATACACACATGCACACATGCACACATACACACATACACACATACACACATACACACATACACACATACACACATACACACATACACCACACATACACACATACACAGACACACGCATACACACATACACACATGCACACATGCACACATGCACACGTGCACACATGCACACATGCACACATGCACACATGCACACATGCACACATACACACATACACACACACACACACAAACACATACACACATAATCACATAAATCAATCACATAAACACATACACACATGCACACACGCACATACACACATACACACACATACATACATACATACATACGTTTGTACGTGCATACATACATACCTACATACATACATACATACATACATACATACATACATACACACACAGATACATACATACATACATACATACATACATACATACATACATACATACATACATACATACATACATACATACATACATACATACATACATACATACATACATACATACATACATACATACATACATACATACATACATACATACATACATACATACATACATACATACATACATACATACATACATACATACATACATACATACATACATACATAGATATACGTACACGTATACGTAGTTATGAGTTCATCATTTTCTATGTGTATGCATGTATGTATTCTATGGCACGGTCGCGCAAATGCGGTATTTCTCGATGTTCTCGGGTCCTCTAGGGGCTTAGTGGCATCCCACTAGGACATGGGGCTGCACCAACATCCCTCTGGTCAGTTGGGGACATGAATCTTGAGTGTGGCTCGAGCCATACACTCACTGGGAAGAGAACGGCGTCTTATACTTGTGCCAAACATCGCAAGCTGGAAGTACCTGATGCTGAAGCATCCATGTTTCTCCAGCGCCTGACTCGTTTCTTTTTTCTTGTGAGCGAGCCTTGGCCTTGTCAGGCAGAGAACAACCATAACCTCTACAAGGATGATGGACATTGGGTTCAGGCCCTTTGAATGAGTTGTCAGAGCTCTCATAGGGTGGTCGGGGGAACATGCGAGATTCTGAGACGGTTAGTACACCGGCCTGTCTGCGATCATTCGGATCGCTGCCGGCATGCGGAAAACTCGAGCAGAATGTTTGCAGCTGATCGACAAGACATAGTGCTTGCGGAACACTGCTTGCATTCACACATTGCATTTCAACGGCACTTGAGCTAGCATCATGACGCGACAAGTCTCTGTTTAAGCAGGGCGAGCATTCCCCAATGCGGTTTTGACCATTCCTTGGATCGGGTTGGACGTTTACGCGGAGTGCTTCTGGTGCCGATTGTGTTTCTCTGGGGCTGTTTCTCGGATGCTCGCAAATGGCCTGCCCATTGGATCCTAGGCAAGCCACTAGTACTATGGTAGCAACACCCATCTTCCTTTCGGTTTTCAATGGCTGGTACCTACAAACCAGGGAACTAGAATCACTGGGCAATGCAGTATTTGGTATGACGTACGATAAGACTGGGATTGATGAGGTTCTGGTGGCTCAGGGATGCCCCGCAGTTCATGTCACGTGGCCATTAAAGGTTACAGAATCTGACAAAGACTCCTTGAGAATGGCATTGGTAAATTCGGGATAGGTGGAGGAAATCAGTGTGTCAAAGGTTCGGGGACATGTCATGCCTACCTCGGCCGAGAAGGGTGCAGTGCAGGCCATGCCCCGCACTTTGGTCGTTGGGCTTGTTCTAGCGGGATGCCACCCTTTGTGTTTCTTTCTGGATAGATACACTCAACTGTTGACTGGAACCCCAGGTCGACAACCATGCGGTCCCACTCTGTCGCAATTGAACGGAAAGAGCTTCCAAAGAAGAGGGTGTGTCTTACAAGGGAGTCCCAAAATCCTTTTCTGCAACCCCCTGCAAGCAAGGGGTCAGCAAAGAAAGACAATCGCAACCAGCTAAGGGCTGGGAAACCAATGGGTCTTGCGCATCATTGAACAACCTCGAGGAAGATGCCGGAGAGCGCAAAGCTCTGAGAACAGCCGAGAGATTGTTTTCTGTTTTTCCTCTAGCCGGGTCCCGAAAAAAGGACACATTTGGACAAGCAAGTCACCTTGCCCAGCTAGGCAGGGCGGGTTTCGGATGTACCCCCGTCCGTATCCCAACGAGAACATGCTGTTGCTCGATTCGGGCTGGGAGGCTGTTTGGGCCTCGCGCACATTTTAACCACTGCTCACGGCTTAGGGTGGCAAGCACCAGCACAAGGGGCCCCACGGCAAGCTCGCCATCCTTGTGGATGTGATCCCCGGCATCGTCATTGCAACTTGACATGCAAACCCGCCTAGGTCCCCCAGTAGTGCCCTTTTACCCTTTCTTGGAAGCAGTTCCCATACTAAAATAGACTACAGAAAAAAGGGTACCCTTAATCTAGCCTCTACTGGAGGACCTAGCCGCTGAAGCTTAAGTGGTTCCGAGTCGTTGGAATATGGAAAAAGAAGAACAAGAACGCCTGCCATTCTTTGAAAGCAAGATGCAAAGTCAAGCTTTGCATTTGAGTGCTTTTCCCTTGTAAAAATAGGGAGTTTCGCCAGTTGTTTAAATGATGTCCAGGGGTCTGAATCCCTACTTGAAATGATACCAAAGGGCTTGGGGCCCACTAAAATTCACATGGAAGTGCTTGAAGCCCTGGTTGGTGGTGCCGATGGTTCCAACTTGCCAAATGGGTCTGTCTAGGGATTTGGACCCCCAACATGGATTTGTCAGTAACTCTTTTGGTTTCCCTTTAAACCAACCCCAAAAGGGTGCCATACAAACTCACAACCATATGGAACGCTGTGCGTGCGCACGGAAGTCATGCCCGCGCCATTAATTCGGGTGATCTGAGCGAAGTCCCCCGAATGACTCGATCATGCCCAGATCGGTGGGTCGTATTTGGACTCCCGTTGTTGGGGATTGCCTTTGGAAGTTTGCCGGCCCCAAGCACAAACTTGTTTCTCAGGATTACGGGGGGGTTTCGCAAAGTCTGCGACTGCCTTTTGGACACTGCACTGTTTGGACCACTAGGAATGCAGTAAGATCGCAATTTCAAATTGGATCCCTCATTTTTTAAGGCAAGGGAAACCCAGCCTGTCGCTTAGACAAACCCCCGTGAGGTACTCAATGCCCTCGTCCTCGGCTTGAGCAGCGACATCGCTGAGGATCACATAGTGTGGCAGGCGGGGGTCGTTTTGAGACCCGGACTTTCAGGTATTGGAAACAAGGACACCGCGCCGCGATTTTTTGGGTTCCTCTATCTTGACACCGCCCCACACGGCGAAACGAGAGACACACACACACACACAAGAGGCGCGGCACAAGACAGGTATGTCGTCTCTGGTGCAGCCCTCTGGATCCATTTGCTTGAGATTTGTTTTCTTTCCCCTTTTGGATTTAAAGGGAATCTATCACTACTGGACATATTCTTTTTCCAGGGGGCTCAAGCAAATGGAGGTTTGTCTTCTTGGTTGTCGGAGCCTGGGGCAAACCTTGTCAGGGGCTGCCAGGTTTGGTCGCCGGCGTTGCCTTCGCCTTCTCGCAAGGGTCGGTCCCGCCCCGAGGTCTGCAACACGTTCTTTCTCGTCTTCTACACCTTGGAGTTTCTGGTGAAGATTGGGGTGACGCTCGGCAGGGGCCTTCTGGGGGTCTGGAGTTTGATTCTCGCTGCTCTCTATTCTCTTTGTGCTTCGATGAGGTTTGTTTTGCCACGCGTTTTCTTGTTTGTTGTTTGTGCGGGATTTTGTTCAGGCGGGGACCCTCGTGAAGATGGCGAGAGAACCTTTCTCGGATCAAAGGGACGCATTCGTGAACAGCTTTGGGTGCTTCCCCATGAAGCCGATCCTCGTAAATGCCGTCCCCTGTGTCGCAGATGTGCACTCAGAAATCGCTTTGGCAGAAGATTCCTGGTGCTTTTTTTTCACATGCGACGCCTTTTTACACATGTTGCGCACGTTTGTACACATCTCCCTCCCTCCCTCTCTCTCTCTCTCTTCATATATATATATATATACTCACTTCCTGAGTTCATGAACTTTAAACTTTTGGGAAGACCATTTTAGTGGCAAATATAAAGGTTGGACTTTTTTTGGGCCATCCACTCAGCAAGTGAGGATAAGTATATATGGCAGCGTCTTTGTTGAGCTTCCCCTTCTTTGGGGGGCGGGCCGGTGTTTTCAAGAAAGCCAAAGGAACCTGCAGACCAACACACTCATTTTTCCGGGGCGGCCCTTGTACATGTAGTCTCTCACTAGATTTCCCACCAGTCCTGGTGGGAGAGCCAGTCATTTTGACAAAAAAAGACATGTTCTCACATTTTGGTCCAGGCGCTTTTGGTCCTTTCGCGCTTCTCCCCCTAAAAACCGCATGCTCCAAAATGGCAATGCATGCTCCAACTTGGAATCGCACAAATGCTACACCCTCAGGTGTATTTTAGATGAGTGTTTTTAAAAGGCTGACACCATTCGCCAAGATTCTCCCAGACCTTGGGACGGTGCTTTGTGGGAGGTTTGGGTGGCGATGGTTCTTCTTGGGCAACGAGTGGCCCTGGAACGCCTTTGACGTCTTCTGCTTGGTGCTCTCCTACTTGGAAGAGCTGTGCCTTGGCAACAACGAGCCGCATGTTTCGGGTGGGCCAACAAGAAGGCGAAGGGACGTGTTAAAAATCGGAGCTGCAAGGGATATTCCAAGTTTCTGTGGACTTTTCTGGGGCTCGGAATGTTGATTGGCCTTGTCTTCTTTGGGGTCCACCACCGGGGCGGAGGGAGCCTTGAGACTTCGCCTCCTCCATCGGACACATCGGACACATGGCACCCGAGGGTGACGTGGATCCTGCGATCAACGGAGGGGCAGGTGGCGGACCTCAACACCATCGTGCGCCGCGGCGCAAAACAAACAAATAAGCTCAGGTGATATCCCCAACAGCATGCGGTGCTCTGTTTAGTGCTCGCACCACCCGCAGCCCTCGCAGAACCTCGTGGAACCCTGGTGGAACTCTGGTGTAACCCTCGTGGAACCCTCGTGGAACCTTACCTCAGGGCCGCCCCGGACCACCCCGGAGCTTATCTGGGCTGAGACCCCAAAGCTTTCAGCTGTTGGGGAAAAAACAAAAGACGTCGGGCCTTTGGGCGCCGCGGCGAAGGCCCAGAACCAGGGATGGATGGAAAGGTCCCATGAGCTTGGGGTGACCCGGGGAAACCACCCACGAAGAGTTTTTTTTTTTTCCGCATGGCCATTTTTTGGCTGGTTCGACAGCCAGGGAATGAGAATTGGAACGACCCCAAATAAAACCGTCCAACTGGTGGTTTCCTGCAAGGCAATCCTTAGTTGTAATTTTGCGAATATATTTGCTGGTGCTCAGTAGGGAATAACCCAGGGTGTTGGGCATGAGCCGGAAGGGAATTCCCGTAAGAAACCACAAGGGATGGTGTAAGACCTCAAGGATTAGGTGTCGTCCCTCCCCATAGCCTTGCTGGCCTTGCTGCATCTTTGGGGCCTTGACTGGAAAGGCGTGGACTTTGCTGCCCCCCAACAAGGGTGGTTCGGGCCTAGGAAGTCGTTTTGCGCATGCGCAGACACCCATTTGAGTCGATATTTGCCGGCATCTACTGGAGCTCAGGGAATGACATTTCGCGCACTCAACAATCGCCCACCAGAAATGGAGGCTCACCAAAATTCAATGTCATTTGGGACACCATGACTATTGATCACTTGTTTCACCTGCTTTCCTCTTTTTCCGGGGAAGGGGGGATTAGATGGAGCGTTGGAATACGGCTATGAAATTCAATAGGGAGCCCCCTGCAAAGTGGGCGGTGGACGTGGATCCCCACGGAAATGGTGCCTCAAAAGGGTCTCCGATTGAACACGCCCAGATGAGCAGCGGACACTACATCTGGTAGCCTGTTGTTCATTTGGAGAGGACATGGGGCGCTACCCATGCGCTACTTTCTCGCAGAAATAGGGGGCTACCCAATGAAACCAACTGCAAGGACTATTGTCGGCTCGTATGTGCCATGGTTGAAGCCCTGTTTATTGGACCGCTTGGGGATTTAGACGACCATGATTAGGGATATAGCTCCTAATAGGGACCATGCCTCATATGCTCAAAATAGATATTCGGACCCCCCAAACTGGATTTCGGATGAAAGCGACAGTGCCGCACAAAATCACCACCCCAAAAATGGAACCCTCGAAAAAACAAGAACAACAAAAGAGAAAACACCAACAACTTTATATGTATATATTATATATCAAATAAAGAAACGAGATGCCGACTGAAAGGTACCCCGGCCCCCACCCTCCAAAAGACCGCAGATACCATCCAACATGGAACCTGAAAATATCCCCTATGAAAGATAAGATACCCGCGTCTATGGGTCTGTCGCAAAATGAGAGGGCCGATGAAAGAAGCAACATTTTGGACACCTCCCACTTGAAGGGGTTTGCTAAATTTGAGAAGCACGCGATGACTGCGCAACCAGGTTCATCCGCATGCTGCGGCTGACGCGACTGGTACGCTTGGTGCGGACTCTGCGCTTCGAGATTTTCTACGAGCTGAAAACCATGGTGCTGGGAGCCCCCTGGAGCCATTTCTCCCCCTTCCTCTCCCCGGCTCCCTCTGCCTCTCCTCTCCCTCTCCCTCTCCCTCTGCCTCTTTCCTCTCCCTCTCCCTCTCCCTCTCCCCCTGCCTCTCCTCTCCCTCTCCCTCTCCCTCTGCCTCTCTCCTCTCCCTCTCCCTCCCCCGCTCCCTCCCTCTCTGTGTCCGTCTCCGTCACAGGCTCCGTCTCCGTCTCGGTCGCTGTCTCTGTCTCTGTCTCTGTCTCTGTCTCTGTGTCTCTTCTCTCTCTCTCTCTTTTTCTCTTTCTCTTTCTCTTTTTTTTCTCTTTCTCTTTCCCTTTCTCTTTCTCTTTCTCTTTCTCGCTCTAAAGACCGGACAAAAAGAGAGTATAGCAACTTTTGGTGGCTGTGGCACACATCGAGATCCCTCGCACAAGAGAGCAACAGGTGTCCTACAAACTGGGTTGGAGCTGTAACGCTCCCAAAGGATGCAATTTTACCCGTGTTCCCTTCAACATCCACCCTACAAGCCATGAGTTCTGTGCCAGCTGGTTGGCAGAAGATCAGCCTGCGAACTGCTTTTTGTGAAGGGTTTGCGAGCTACTTTTTGTGAAGGGCGCTCTTGAAAGATTGCCGTTTTCGCGGGCTGCTGGATATGTATTGCTACACTGTGTTCTGCGCACCAAAGTATTTATGCAGAAGAAGACAGAAGAGAAGAGAGGAGAAGAGAGAGAGAGAGAGAGAGGGGGAGAGAGACAGGGAGAGGTGTTATGTATTCTGTGTAGTGGATTGGGGCCTCCATAGTCCCAAATTCATTTGCAGCTTGGGTGGCATCAGTTACTTCCGTTTTGCAGAGTAGCGCAGCATTCTGCTTCCCCAAGCCATTTGTCGAGACTCTGCACTGAATCCCATTTCATTTTGATACCAAACGGGTTTGTCTCATCAGTAAACCGCTGGGCGTGGTCCTGGTTCTTTTCGGTCCGGGCTAAATGGTCAACCGGCGCCAAGGTTTGCAGGGGAAATGCACGTGGTGCCTGGGGCACGGCAAACCACTTAGCGTAGACCATCCACGTACCATGTTTGTTGGTTGGGCAATTCAGTGGCACCGATTTTGTTTTTCCCCTTTGGTTTTTGCCGGCTTCATCAAAAAGACTCATCATAAGCGTAAGTTGCTCGCTAGAGAAGTGGCTTCCTTTCTAGCTCGGCGGCTTGTTTTCACAAACTCCCTGGGGGTTCCCGTTTTGCCAGCTCCGGTCACTGACCTGAACAACGCGGTGTTTTTCTCTCGGCAAGGGGGCCTCGGTCGGGGTGGTTTTTCTCAGGTTGCCAGCGGCATGCGGGTGCTCTTCTGGGCCATGGTCCTGCTGCTGGCGCCCAGAATCGAAGGAGCCGAAAGACCCACAGCTGGTGGGATACCCCCGAGTATCTATGGGTCCACGGGTATGAGGGAGCCAGCTTTTTTCAAATTGAAGACCACAAGGGAAATGGCAAATTATTGGGGCCCCCCCAACCAGAATGGTTCTTAGAACCCTTCGCCCAGAACCTCTTCTAAGACGGTTCTAAGAGCAACCTTTTCGGGTTTTGGGGCCCTAGGTTTTCCCCTAGGCCTTCGGCCTGGTGGTTTATCCCGGTATTGATACGTTGTTTCCTAAATGAGGTTTCTCGTTTCTCCAAAAGGGCACCAACTGATATTGTTGCTCACTTCCTTTTGAAGCCAAATGGAAAATACCCCCGAACATCCACATCACCGAGCCACGATTTAACCAGGGGCAAGTTCCTTTTTGGAGGGATTTCAGGTTCGGTTGCTTGAATTAAAGGGCAACCACACAGAACGGTTTGAAGAAATATCTTCAAACACGTTGGGTGTGTCGTTTTTTGAGGGTGCCCCTTTGGTGGTGGTTTTAAAGGGAAGCCAAGAGGAAAACCGTTGCGCCATTTTGGGGATCCGGTCCGACTCCTAAAAAGCAAGACGGCCGGTAGGGGGTTGAATGGCCCAAGCCTCTGCCTAAGCACTCACGGCAGTTGAACTCAGGATGGCAGAGGTTTGCCCCCCATTTATTTATTTTTTCTTGTGAAATGGCCGAACATTAGGCCCACTAGGACAACAACCATTGCGGGTTGTTATTTTTTCAGGACACTTTTACGTCCACGGCTCCGCTACATGGGAATGTGTCAAAGAAAAGACGGGACCGAGAAGCACATTGCAAAACCATGTGCTTGGCCCTACCCTTTGAGCAAGAAGCTTTTGCTTGGACATGTTTCTTTTGGCATATTCACGGCTTGGGCATGTGCAGAGTCGGATCAGTGGGGGTCACCAGCCCAGGTGCTTTGCCTTCCTCAATGTTCACAGCCGCTAAGCCATATCGGGTTTTTCAAAGTGATACACTCCTCGTTGGATGGCTTCAACGGGAAACCAAAAGGAAAGCAGCCCAGACAATTTCTGGCGCTGGAACTAAGGTGATCATCTACACCACTGGGGTAGCGGCAAAGAACGTCTTCGGTGAAGCAGAGCCTGAGTTCGAGACGGTACCATGGCAAGACCGCCGCCGCCGCCGCCGCCCCCACCGCCACCGCCGCCGCCACTGCCGCAGCCACCACCGCCACCACCACCACCACCACACCACCACCACCACCACCGCCAGTTTACGCTTAAATCATGCCCCAACTTTGGTCCTAACATGCCCACGCCCATTCTCATTTGTTGGGGCCTTCTGGTACTGTATCGACTCCTTCAAGTGGCCTCCGATTAGTGTTCCCCGAAAAAAGACGATTACACCCGTTGGATTTGCGAGGTCCCTGCAGCCATGTTCACGCTCTTCCGCTGCTTCACGGACGGGTGCACCGCCTACGATGGCACGCCCCTCATGGAGCGCCCCTCGGCCTCGAATGCTCCCCTAGAGGGATGAATCTGGCAATTGTCATAGGGGAAATTCAGAGAACCGTAAGGGGATCGATCTTCAGCGGAGTCATGCCAGAAGGCTCTTGCCAGCATTTTGGGTTACGTGCCAATGGGGTTGCGTGGGAGGTGCTCGAGGAGTTTGTTCAAATTCAGGGGAGGAATCTCCTTGCGGCGGCCCGTCTTTTGGGTTCCATGTAAAAAAAGTGGGGAGTAGCACTCAGGTGACAAGGGTTCCGGTCTTTCAGGTGTGGTTTGGGCCCGGTCTGGTGGCACTGAAAAGGGGGACCGATCTTTCCGACTGGTTGGCTTCTGGCGGTCTCTGTGTGTCGTTTTTCCGAGGGTAACCCCATTTTTCCCTTTTTTTTTGGCTTGAAAGGGAAAAAGGCGGCAATCATTTTCCAGGCCCGAGAATGAAAGAGAGACTCGATGCATATTCGCGGTGGCCATGCACAATGCCATGGCGGTTTTTTGTTTTGGGTTCCCCTCCTTGGCTCCAAAGTTGGTGGAGCCCGATTTGGATTCGGAGATGAATGGAAACCCCGGAATACCACCAAACCACCAAACCACCAAAGCACCAAGGGGGAAGCTGATATAAGATTCTAGGAACCTTGGTCATCTTCCCCCAACCTACTCCACATGGAGCCTTGGCACCTGGCTTTGCTCGACTCCAATTTGGTTTTTGGCAAAGGATAACCCCTAGGTTTGGTGCAGGCCAACAGCAAGAAAGTGTGGATTTTGTCCTATTGAGGTGAACCAAGTATCGACAGACAAACTCATTGACCAAGAGCTGAGCTGGGGGTTGGTTTCCGATCCAAACGTCGGATTGCGCGGGTTCCCCGCCGACCTGAGGCCTGCGCCCAAAGTACGGCATACTCTTTGTGGCCGCGTGGGCATGAACAGAGAACGGGGTTATCATGGTTGTTCTTGGGTAACATTCTATATTTTTGCTTATTGTGGTTTAGTGGTTGAAATCCAACCACTTAACTGCTAAAGTTTAATGCTTTGCTCCCCTTCCAACGCCAACCGAGTTATCTCCTCAAAGGTTCGGAGGCCTTTGAGACCGGAGTCTTTTCCCCGGCGCGTGCGAAAGGCTTCTTGAATTCCGTCCCTGCAGAAAGGCAGAGGAACTTTTTCGTCTTGGATTAGCCAGTCTTGGCTTTTGAGCTGCCCAGTGGATGCTGATTTCTGGCCACAGGTCAAGTTCCTCAAGGTGTCTGCAGCCTTTATCCAGATATGTTTGTCCTTTGAGCTCACAGGGCCTGGCTTTGGGAAGGCTTCCAGCCGATGCCTATGACTAGACAGACTTTGGCCCTGGCTTCTTCCCAGAACTTTAGGTTCAAGTGTGGACTCACTTGGGTGCGTTTGAAAGTTAAGGGATGGGATCGGCACTTACTTTGGCAGCTAGCCACGCAATGTCCTGCCTCCCATCAGGGAAGCTGACGGCAGGAGGCTTTCGGAGGATTTTGACCCACTTTCATTGCTCCGTACTAATTGAGGCGAGCTCATTGGTGGGCTATGATGTTATGGGGCACTCCAAATGCATTATTTTGAAACGGTCTTAGGGTGGTCAACATCGCAAATGAGGGTAATTTGTTTTGTACTACTTGGGGGTAAGTTTGTTGGCAGAATCATGAGGCCAATATGCAACTAGTAGTAGGCGCGCAGGCGCTCTAGCATGGCGTCGAGCATCGATCCTATACCCCGCCCGATGTCGCAGGGGTAAGTGCAACAGGCACGAGAAGGGCAGCTGGTGGCCATGACAGTGTGGTGTGAACTTAACCTGTCTGTGGAGCAGTTGTATAGCACTGCAGCCAGGTTGCACGTAATATCTAGCACACGTGTTTGCAGAATACTTTGTGAACACGAAGGTACAAAACAAGAGATGAACTGGCGTTATTGCACGCCTGTTGGTGTTGTAGAGCTGTTGGAGTAATTTCATAAAGGAGTTGGTCGCCACATGGTCCTCGAGCTGGGGCAGTGCCAGGCCTGAAAAAGGCCGCCAAAAGTTTAGTTCTCGTGTGGGAGGTCCAGTGCGCAGAATTGGTAAGCGGAAAGGGGCGGGAGTAAGGGCGCTCCCATGACTCCGGCCGCCCAGATCAGCTACGTGTTCATGTTCATGCTGGTGTGCCTGGGCGTTTTCAACCTCATAATGGCGATCTTTCTCGAGAATGCGACTTGGTTTGGCCAGCGCACGGGGTCGCATGGCTTCCCAGAACCGGGAGAAGTGCTGTGGTCTGAAAACAAAAAGCAAAATGATTGGGGTCGCTGGTGACATTGCGCCCTTGTGGGCATATCCTTTCGTTGCTGAGGTGATGGTCAACCAGCTTCAAAGACGCTTGGCTTTTGGAGTGCAATGACAGAACTCGCAATCACGGGCTGGGATCGAAATGCCCCAAGCAGAATGCCGCAAGGTTCACGTGTCTCAAGACAGGGGCTGTCAAAATAGAGGGGCCGCAGGCAAAAAGGTTTTCCTGTGGCTTACCCTTAAACACCAAGCTGAAAAGGCTACCCTCAAAAACACCAGCGCACCGACCGACCAAATCTCGCGAGGAAAGCTCATGGGCATCGACCACTCCGCCAACCGGATCGAGGTGAACCTCAAGGAGCCGACGGCTCGCTTTTTGGGTGGTGATGTGCGACATGGGTGTGGCTCAAAATTCAACAAGAGGGGCAAACCGCAGGTTTTGGTCCATGTTTCCACTTAGCAGGGTTCCATTTTGGTACCGGTTTTTTGAGCCACAGCCACATGGGTGTTTGTTTGTGCCTCTGTCTGTGTGTGAGTGCCGGTTTTGAGGGTGTTTCTTTTTGGGCCGGGGAAGGGGGGGGAGGGTCGAGTCGCATCAGCGTGGCCCGAACTGTATGCGTTGGAGTGGAGCCCCAAAGTGCGGTGTACATTGCGGAGGCGCGTGGCCAATGTAACTTGGATGCCCGCAGCTGGCGTCCGAGCTCAACACTGAATGACCAGAAAACCGGCGTGGCCGGGGGAAGACCCTGCTTTTACCAGCAAGGAGTTGCGCGGCACGCGGCGTGCACTCTGGAAGCGCATGGCCGACTTCCCGCGGGTGCACGTGGCCATGCGGGCCATGTGATTCCACACGGCGTTGGTGGGACTGAACGCAACCCGTTGTACCTCGGTGAAAAGGGAAGCCCCCATTTTGAACACAGATGACACAGATACGCACGCGCGGCAGGGCTTTTGTTTGGCATTTTTTTGTTTTGTGTTTTTTCCGGCTTCGGCCCTACAGGGGGCAATGCTGTCGGCGCCGTCTTTGCCGCAAGAACCACTGGGCAGAAGTGAGGCTTGATGACTCGGGCAACGAAAGCTGAGCCATCTGGAGGAATTGATCAATTTTGAGAACCACTCCCCCCTCCACATGTTTGAACGTTTGGCCCAAATTTGCCGACCGGAAGCACCTGCCAAGCCGCAGGAGGACCTACTGCGCCTTTTGCTGCGCAGCAAGTCCAACGGTGTGCCAGAGGCGCGTTCGTGCGGAGGCCTTGGTGGCCGGTGTTCCCACATGACATGACGCTGCCACTTTTGCGCAACCAACCCCTTGGCAGTAGCTTTCAGCCCACTAGAGGCCCTCCTTGCTGGTTTGTCCTCCTTTTTTCACCTTGGTTGGAAGGCAAGCCAAAAGGAAGCCACGCATTGTTTATTTTTTGCTCGTATGCTTGGTCGCGTTTTTTGGTCTTCTTTTGGGACATGTCTGGGTATGTTGTTCTTCTTCTTTTTTTCTTTAACACATACCCAAAAAAAACCGGCACCTGCTTCGAATGCCCGGCTCCCCGCATCCCCATTCCTGTAGCCCGGTTGGTTCAGGAGACCGAGCACGCCCTCAAGGCCCTCAGCGACTCCTTCTACCGCCGGGACGCGCGGGTGCGCGCCATGTTCGAGACCCTTGCGTCCTCCCAGGTGCGGCGGGACAGGTTCAAGGTCGACACGTCCCATTTGGCTGTGGCTCGAAAGACCGGTACCAAAATGGAACCCTGGTAATTAAGTGGAAGCATGGACCAAAACCTGCGGTTTGCCCCTCCTGTTCAATTTTGAGCCACACCCATTTGGCCGGCAAGACATTCATGCGTCGCGCCTTGCGTTCACTCGCTTGGAACTGAATGACTTTGCTGCCAGCTCAACTACCTGGGAACCTAAGGGTCAGATGTCGTAAAGGGCTGCTTTTCGGTTCCACCTCACTCACCCTCAAGAAACCTAATACAGGCTCACTGCACACATCGATCAGTGGAGTTCATGTGAATTTGTAGATCCATGGCAACGGAGATCGTTTGCGCCAAAGAAGCTTTGCGTCTTTCAGACGTAACCTAGGCACAAGACCCAACCTGTGCGCATTCTGGAACCTCCAACAAATGGGGAGGAGGGGGAGCGCTGCTTCTCGTCTTCGTTGCTTAAACCACCAAAAAGGGGTACCCTCAAAAAATGAAAGATGTAAGTGTTTGCGATGGACAGACTTGTTTTAGGTGAAACTTCCACATTGCTTCCACATTGTTTGCTTCAATCCGTACCAAATCCACTTTAAATGCTTGGTTCGCCACAAGCAAATCAGACCTTCGCTTGAAAGCCTCGCCTTTCCCATCGAGGTGGTCATTACGAAGCCTGCGTTTATCTCTTGGCTGCAGGCGGGGTGGCACTTGCGAAGACGTCCCAACTGGCTGCGGCCGGTTTTCAGGATACCCAGAAAGGCTGGTTAGTGAATCCAAGCGGAAAACCACCATAATTTTCAGGATTCACATAGAAAAAAACATGGTTTTCGAGATCCACATAGAAACGGCTCACATTTTTGGATGGAACGATCGAGCAGAATCTTTTGATCAATCAGACTTTTAAATTGGAGCTGAGTGTTGCCTTTGAAGCCGGGCTGATGTGACTGTCCCGACATGTCTTTTTTTTCCCGGCGATTTTAAGCCCTCTGCATATCTAGAGATCATAGAGGTTCACCATCTGGTCCCATGTGCGCTTTTTCCACGGAGCCAAAAGCATGGCCGGGCTAAGAGCCTTTGAGAAATGAAGGGCCCCAAGCGTGGAAACGCTCTCAGAGGGCGTCTCCTCCTTTTCCCCTGGAATGGCTTCCAGGGGACCCAACCAAAACACCAAAACAAACAAATGGGTATGTGTCAAAATAGTGCGTCAAATAGGAGCGGAACCACAATCATACCATATTTTGCCGGACGGTAATGTCTTTATGGCCCGTACAGGGTCAAAATCCTACCCGGGCTGACCGACGTGAACGAAACTCCGGAAAGCACGTGGCCTCTGATGCCTCACTCAGGGCTTCCACTAAATTTCCCCGAAAATGCATCATAAGGGGACACTCGCGTAAATGTTGAGGATGTCACTCACTTTTGAGGGCGGGAACCATCTTGAAACCACCATTCGGCTGAAAACCATGTTGAGGATGTCACTGTAGCACTTGGCTTTACCACCTTATTTCCAACTTCAACCACTGTCATGTTGAGGATGCCACATCCGAAATGGACCCAAAGACGGATAGGACAAAGACTTCCTTACCGTCCTCAAGGAGGCAGATATCGAGACCGCCAACCAGGTTCCTTGGCAGAAAAGCTCAGGCTTCGGGGTCTCTGGAAACGCGAGAAGACAACTCTTCTGTCGAAAAGGCATCCTGTCCGCTTTCCAAGTTGGAAACTCGTCTGGTTTTCTGTGATGCCAAAGTGGTGATGCCAAACTGGTTGATTCCCATCCCGCTACTTCACTTCAAAGGGGGGTCCCTTATCACAGAAACTGAACCTCCCCCCCGCCCCCCCGTCTCACTGCCGACTAAAGTAGCCTTTGCAGCCTATGAAGGAGAACTTAAAGGAAGACCACCCACAAAATTCATTGGTTTCCCCTACTTTGAAAAGTGCCGTGCACCCAACGTGTTGCGCCTAAGGAAGGCATCTTCGAGTGTCTTGATGCCGACATGATGCTCGACTTGAACAGATTTCGCGCGGGCGAAGAGGGGACCACTTTGGTGGCCGTCTGATAAGCCACAGGTTTGCGGTTGACTGAGTAGGGGTGGGTTTTTCCCCTACCCGATCAGCTTGGGTCTTGCCTCTGGGCTTTCAGGGTTGGTTTTTCCACCATTTCCCTCTTAGGGACCTTCGGTCGGCGACTTCCCCCGACATTTGTTTGGCTTGCACAGGCAGGTGTCCTCGCGTTCTCGCGTTCGAGGCAGGCTCCATTGTGCGGATGGGCGCATCCAAACCATTTAACGAACAAATACATTGAGTCATGATCATAAGATCCTACTGTGTGTACATTATGTGGCCCTTTCTCGTTCCTCTTTGCTGGCCAACTCACAGTGCTCTTCCCAAATATTTCACCGTTCCTTATAGCAACCACTCTTTCAGTACTCTCTCGACTCTCAACACGTCTTTTTCCGGTCCAACAAGGCCCCCCCGCCGAAGCTCCGGCTCCTCCGCCGCGGGGGTCGCGGAGCTCAGGAGCGGGTGGCTCACCTTGGACGAGGTGTA